ACAAGCCTCTTTCCAGTTTATAGTTTTATGCTAATTTTTCAATGCTTTCCATGAATTTTTAAAACTTTTTAATTGCCCAAGTGGAAAATCGAAATCAAACAAACATTTGTCTAAATCATACAAAGAAGAAGACATTTACAAATGCTTGCTAACTTCTAAATGGCTGCTTTTAAAAATTCACAAAAATCACCAATCTTTGTTTGTTTGTTTCATTTTACGCCTTTTCCCAACAGTATTTCAGTCATATAGGCGGGTAGTTTCCTAACCATCGTTCCTGGAGAGTTACACCAGTACTAGACTACCTTCCTCCACGCTAAACTACCAAAGCATCTCCCGTATTATATATGAACTTGAAAGAAACATTTATTTATATCATAAGATCTATTATATGGAGCTATAAAACCGTATTATATCCGTCAGAATATTTAATAAGTTATCAGGAGAGATGTTAATTCAACACTGGAGATGATTTGTATAAAAACCCACTAGAAAGTATATATAGGGAAGGAGGATGATAAGAAGAAGGAGCTTCTACGGTACAATGGAAATGTCTAGGATCAAGCGATGGGATCACAAAAACAGCAGGGTTCAGTAATAAGGCTGATTTTGAAAAGGAAGAGTGAAAGACGTGAGAATAGAAAGTCGTGTTTAACAGTGTGAGTAGGGTGGTATCGGAGTAGGAGTAGGGTGAAGTATCCCAGACAGTTTTTGGACTGAGCCTATTTTAGAGTTAGAATATTCACCATGTTGTAGGACCGAATAGTGTGCGAAGGCCTGTCGAAGTGTGGATAAAGGATGAGACAAATGGATAGGGGTCGTGTGTCAAAGAAACTGACATTGATGCCAATTAAATTTTGCTATAAGCCCTCAAATTTTTTTCAACTTTAAATAAGTTTAATCAATAACAAATCAAAAATTTCTTAAACTAATTTTGAACACCTTAAATCTTACTGGTTAATATATGTACTCACAACTCTGAATATTGACCAATCACAGAGCAGCTCTCTAAAAGACAGAATTATTTTTCAGTCAATCTGAATCTGATTGGCTGTGACCTATTAACCATATTTTTCAAAGGACCAATTAGAGCACAGCTATCATTAATTCCTTTTCAAAGACGAAGCTTAAAATAATAAATTAGAACATTCAATACTGCTTAAAAATACTATTCGGTGAGGTATATGTTGAAGATTTGATTCTCTTCATTCACATAAAATCTACAATAGTCATCTATAAGGAAAATTATAACTATATAAAGAACCGTAAGATATATATATTATTAAAAAATCCTACTAAGTTTCTCTCAGTGCTTGTTAAAAATATATATCTATATGTGTTAATTCTATAAAGAATAATTCATACATTTACTGCGCAACAGCTGAGACTTTAGTTCTACATATATTATATAGAGAAGTTAGGAAGTGGTTGAGTAAAGAGAAAAGAGTTTATGTGACATTAAGACAAGTTATTGAATACCAGAATAGCCTAATATTCTGCTTCTGTAAGAATTTTTATCTCATCTTTTGTCTTATTTAAGTTGGGTTCTCATTCAACTAAGGCTAGACAACTCAAAATTAAAAAATTACTTGTATCAATTCCAGTGGAGTAGTCTCCCTTGAAACTATAGGCAACATGGGATTGTTTCTAAATCACTATCCAAATACAATGAAAACAAAATTTACGACAGGTTTTAAAACATTAAAGACTTGAGACAATGTCAATATTTAGTTTAGAAACCATTTTAAGTTCTTTTAAAGATTTTTAAGTTCACTTTAACCTTGTAAAAATAAAAACAAACAAAACGAAACGGATATTTTTACAAACGGCGAGCTAATTCGATGTACAAACACAGAATAATGTGAGACAATAACATCGAAGTACAATAGTTAAATACATGTATGCAATTACATACAAACACAAATAAATATATTTAAACATTTAACATATATCACAGACTGTTTATTTCTCCACTAATAGTGCTTAGCATATAATAAATATACAGGCTTACATGATTAAAAGACCAATTCTGTACAACAATCACTGACAGAATATCTGCCTTTCATACTGAAAAAAAAATTTCTTTCCCTTTTCAATAAGCATATAGTACATAAACTGTGTTAATTTAAATTTAAACTACATTTTTATCTTAGCTCAAATATGATGAAAGCTTGAAGATGATCTGAACTATTCTAGAGACCAATACCTGGAACTAATCTGCACTGGTGCTGTATCATGGCCAGTTAGGCTCACACACACGATCCCTAGGTTGAGAGGTAGACACTTTAACCACTAGGTAACCTTTCCCCTCAATTTTGTGTTTTGATGGACACCTTTTGTTATCAAAGACCTACTTTTTCTATTTGATAAAACTGGCCACTTAAGACAAGTTTAGCTGTATTTTATTTTAACAACAAAAAAATCTTGAAATTTCTGAAAGGTATCAATCAAACGCTTTTTTATTCAATTATAGTATAACTTGAAAATAGCACAAGTTTCTTTGCTGAAATACTTTTTAAAAGACATTTTAGTTTTAAACATATTTATTTAAGCTCAATTGCGAAACAAGACTGTTCATGCTAAATTGCGAAACAAGTTCTTGCAACTTATATTTATCACTTTCGAGTCCACTTCCTTGAAGCAACCAATGCTGGTGTCATATGAAGAAACATGACCCTAGTAGGGCTCTAACCCATGATCCTTGGGCAGACACCTTAACCTCTAGGTCACCGCTCCCTTTAGTGAAATGACTATTATTTGACAACCACTACAAATGTTGATGTACATATGAAAATCAAAACTTGTTATTCAAAATAATTTAATAGTTAAAAAAACATCAAAAACAAATCAACAAATTCTAAACAAATGTATCACATAGATAAAAGTGACGTTTGTCGAAAGTGCGCTTGGCTCACTTCAAATATATACTAGTACCATTAATAACAAAGAGCGTGAAATGAAGTAACGATGAAATAAATATTTAAATGAGTGCCGACATAATGCCATAACAGTGCCAGGATTTCAAGTGTAACATAAAAAAAATCTTAAACATAACAATTTTATATTTGCTCAAAAACAAATGAAACAAAATTAGCGTTAAAACTGTTCAAATATGCATGAATTTGCAGTGAAACAAAATATGTATACAAAAAATCAGCCCTGAAAATATTTCAAGTTTTTTAAACTCAAATTTGAGCAATATGCTTTATAAATGTGTTTTTTAATTTCCATGTTTCAAAACAAATGTGCTATTGCTACTTTTCATCCATTTATTTTTCCTATTCTGTCGCTCACGAATCTCATCAACATGAAATATTATTTTAGCTATTGTCAGATCGAATCAAAATATGATTTAAAATAAAGTTTTTTTGCAGTTATGTAAATGTTACTTCCTATCGAATTTAAATAATATTCAGTTTATTTTAAACTATGCTTTATTCAGGTCCCAATATTTTATTTATGCTCATGACATGTCCAACTGAAATTTCAGTTATGCTCTATGCTTTTCATAATGAAAATTTTCATTATACTGATGTGGGGTCATATATAAATATTTCTTTATGAATATTTCTTTACTCTGTTGAGAAGAGTAAATGATAACGCATTGGGTCAATGGTTGAAAAGTTTTATTTACTGACCACATTAATAGAGACATTCCAGGCATTGAATAAAATGAATTCATTTAGTAATAATAAAAAACAACAAAATTTAAACATACAGACTTTCCAATTTACATTGGTATAGTATAAAGTACTAGTAAATTGATAAATTTACCAATGTGTAATGAAAACCTTAAGATTTCCAGCCCTATGAACACATTAATAGTGAAGGTACGAAATGTTTTAAGTGTGAAAACCTTACGTAGAATTATATATAAAAACCAAGGAATGTTTTATTGTTAGAAAAAAAGTGATAAATTAATCTAATGTGATCTGTAAGCAAGAAAAAAACTAAGGGCCATAACTGTGATGAAAATGCTTTGTATATATCAATGTAGATACACTATGTTTTAACTGGATGATATGTTTTAAACTGAAAAATGTATGGATGAATATATAACACTAATACATGCAAAATCAACACATCTATGCAAGCAAACTGGTGTATTTTACTTCATTTCACTTGAAAATAAGGGGAACTAACTCTAACCTTAATATATAGGAAGATAACTCTTCATTGCAATTATGGGGGATTAACTCACACATAATGTTTAAGTCTTGAATGTTGTGTAAATAAAAGTGTAAATTCATTTTAAGTGAGTTAACTTTTAATATAGATAAACTCCTACCTCGCTTTCACCTGAATGGCATTGTTAAACAAACAATTTTTTTTTACTAAGCTACCTAGCTATCAATATCATAGTAAAATAAGAAAAAAACAACAACCTTAAATAATTTATCACATGAAATTTGGCATACCTCTAATACCAGTAACATTTTTCACTAGTAGTTTATCATAAAATCCATTGATTTATCCGCAGTCTTCTAAGCCCCGCTGAGTATTTCTTGTCCATGATTTATTTTCATAATAATATCCAAACATAAAAACTTAATATATTCTTAAGGTAAGTTACCCCACATTCAATTTTCCTTTAACTTGACACATTTAACACATATCAAAATTTAAAGGAACTCCACTGAGGTCTAAAAGCCTAAAAACAGAAAGATATGTAAAGATAATAAAGAAGTATACTCGGGATAAATTGAAAATCACATTTTTGTGCTATTCTTAGCCCATTTTGTGTGAAAAACGTTGCAACGCTTTTCAATTAAGGGTCAATATTTTACAATTAGAATAATTATTCTGGAAAAAAACGAATGATCTGAAATTTTGCGCATAAATTATTGTTTTAGACCTTGTTTTAGGATCATTAATCTCGAAAAATTATTTCCAGTCCCATCTTGCCCAAAAAACCTCAGTGGAGTCCCTTTATAAAGGAACTAACCCAAAGAAGGCCAGTCCTTTTCACATAATTTTAAAAATATTCTTAGGTTGATCCTATATTCAACAAAGATGTCCTATGACTCATTTCTTCCGGAATTTGGGGGTCTTGCTGGTCGACGGGGTGGGGACGGATTCTTGTATCTGAAGTTTGCAGTACTTGTGCTCTGTCGGCCGCGGGGGAGTGGGGGTTTAGCACTACTTGTTCTCATAACATTGCTGCGGGTATCCTGAAACAAAAACCATACATAATACAATAAACACTGTGAACATGTTAATTAACTTTCCATGTGATTAGTACATCAAAAGGACTCAAAATAAATCTACAAAAGAGCACTGAAGAAATCTGCAATTAGGAATGCAGTTGCTTGATAAAATATCAAAACCTGTCATTTTATAACAAGCAAGATCAAACCCATGCAAAACAAAAACCCTTTATTGTCAATGGTATATATTGAAATGCACAACACAGTTTTGCAGAGCCAATTGAAAATGTACTTAATATTCTTTGAAATTCTCTAGAGTAACCACTGAAGACCACACATATGCAATTTTTACATGCCATGATTTAATATCTATTATTTATAGTGATGCAAATATAACATAATTAATTTTTTTTTATTTACTTGTAGTAAACAAGTTACACCATGTTATGTTACACCATTCCGTTTTTCCAAACATGAAAATAAGAATATGCCAAGTGCCTCAGAGTTCAAGCATTTAGTGAGAGATGAAATTAGGTCTATTACAGAGACGGGCCAAGAGAGGCATGAATAGGACAAAACTTTTTTGCTTGCCTAAAGAATTTCTCTACATGGAAAAGAATTTACTCATTTATAAATAAACCAAGATATGGTAACTTCCAATTTAAAAAGAAATTGAAGGAGGGGTGTGCTTAACTTAATTCAAAATATACACAATAGTTTTGCATCAAAGCTCATATATCTAACACCTGTTCTAGAGACAGCTACAAACTGAAGTTTTCTGATTTTAGATTTTTTAAGCAAAAATAGGCAAGGTATCTTGAAGCTAAAATAAAAGCAAAGACCCAGGAAATCTTTATCACACACAAAAATATCATATTTCTACTTTGAAGATCTGGTTACATTCCTATCATATAGCCTTTCACCTAATGTTGTTTCTAAATTTTTAATAGCAAACACCTTTTCACATTAATACTGAGTATAGCTCCAGATATCCAGGATTAAGCACATTATTTAAACATGTATACAATGTTTTATTACAATTATTATTATTTATCAACTAGGCTTTATTAGGTATACTATACATTCAAAACTTTACTGTACAAAACACATTCTCTTACACATTTAAAACAAACATTTCTTGTCCGAAAAATCAAAACAACACATAGACATGCAGTATAGTTTAATTTTTAAATAAAAATATCTTTTTAAAAAAAAAATAATAATCTGTGCATTCGTATAATTTCAGATAAAAAAATCAAAAATATTAAAGAGTAAGTTATACTTAATACATGTAGTTACAAAATGTATAATAACTATTCAAGGAAAAAATTCAATGTGTAAAAGTTGATAAAATATTAAAAAATACATGTGAATAATAAAAAGAATCATAATTCATCCATTTTCAATCAAATAAAAAATATATAATATATGTATAGAAATACATATGTACAATACATAACTACACATATTAAGCTTGTATAATTAAAGTTACATAGCTTTATTATATCCAATTTTTTTTATATAAGTTTCATATATCATTAAAATTTAACTATTCTAGAATAAATATTTGATTGTGAGAAATTCTAAATAACATCCTGTAAGAACAGTAGAATAAATATATATATGTTTGCCCATGATTTTCCATGCACACAATATACAACTTACATATTGTTTCAATAATTTCCTCAATTTGTTCCTTGGTTACCTCCAAATTTTCCTATTCATTGGACATGGACAATTATACACATATTACGCATATTACATTGATAACTACAGAATCACTTAAACCCTTAAAGCTGCATGCCTCCAGATGAACCAAAATATTTCAAGAAAAATTAAATAAGAAAAAATCAGAAATAAGCACTGAGGTTTTGAGAAAAGTAAAACTATTTAGGATAAAAGTAATAATTTCCATGTTTTATGTGATTTATGACCAATTTTGCAGTATTTTTCACCATATTTCTACTGCATTACTAACACAGGTATGGCTATTTTTGCATATTTTAACCTCTTTTGGGTAAATTACATTGGTTGTAAGTGTTATTTGCAATGTCAAATTTATCTTCTATGCTCACTTAACAATACTTTACTTTTTATTACATTTAAAAAAAAATGAAAACTAGAACTGCCACTAACATGGCGTGAATACCCCCGCATACCACTTTGTAAGAATCAACAGTGGCCATTTAGAGCTCAAGGACAACCTCCCTGCCAAATCTGAGGTTACTAAGCCATTGTATTGCTAAGTTATGTATTCTACATTCTTCAAATGTGAATATGTCAAAATCAATACACTGCTGACAGGCATTCTTAAGTAATTGAGGGGAAAAAACTTTTTTTAAGTCAAGGTCCCTGTGACCTTGACCTTTGACACAGTGACCTCAAAATCAATAGGGGTCACCTTATGGTCATGATCAACCTCCATGCCAAATATGAAGACTATGGGTCAAAGGAATCTTAAGTTATTGGGCGGACAAGCTTTTTATAGTCAAGGCCCCTGTGACCTTGACCTTTGACCCAGTGACCTCAAAATCAATAGGGGTCATCTACTTGTCATGACTAACCTCCATGCCAAATATGAAGACTGTGGGTCAAAGGAATCTTAAGTTATTGGGCGGACAAGGAAAAACCGACGGACGGCCAGAAGTCCGTTCCTACGAATGGGCATTTATTGGGTACTTCTTTTGTTTAAAAGTACCCAATAAGACAACAAAAGTACCCAACAACACTGACGGAATGAATAGAATTACCCAACAAGTGTCCATTTGTGTGTTCAAGGTACCCAACAAGTGTCCTTTCGTGCGCCCGGACAGACGGACGTCCGGACGGACAAGCTGATTCCAGTATACCCCCCTTACAACTTCGTTGTGCGGGGGTATAATTAGCATGAATCTGGAGGCTTTAATGCTGGAACACTGTAACAGTGAGAGAGTAACAATTTTGTTGAAAAATACAGACAAAACAACAACCTTAAACAATCTAAAATCATTGTTATTGCTGAATTTTCATATCTAAAAGAGCTCTAAATTAGGTTTTTCTCTCAGATTGCAAATATTAAAATTCTGAAAGCAGCATGCCTCCAAATTCATGCCAATTCTCATGAAAATTTGTAAACTGTATTCTAAATGTAAAATATTGTAAAGAGAACAAAGAAAGTAATTTACTCATTGCAAAGGACACTTATACTTCACTTAAACTACCTAATGATGTCAAAATATGCAAAAATAGCCCTTACTGCATGACTAACTGCATAAGTCACTCAGTAGAAATATAGTGATAAATACGGCAAAATCGGTCATGAATCTCATTTAAAATCTAAATTATTACTGAAAATCTTGAATCTTATTACTTTCCTTAGAATCTTGGTACCTTTTCCCCCAAGTTTAATTTAAAATATTTTGCTAATCTGGAGGCATGCAGCTTTAAAAATACATGTAGTACAAAAATAAAGGCAACAGGTACTTTTCTAAATGATAAAATTGCCCTTTTTTGTTTCAAAATTGTTACTTGTCAAGCATAAATTAACCTACATATACCTGAAAAGATTTAATTACCAGAATACTTGAATGATAAGCAAAATGTCACGGCTTTAAAATTAACTGCTTCATAATAAATTTCACGTACACAACCATCAAAAGCTGGATTTTTAGCGCCCATCAAAACAATATAGTTAATATAACCAAAAAAGCACATTTAATCACTTACCAATTTTGTAACTGCTATCTATAACAGGTTTCCATAAGAACAAATTAAATTACTAAATCTACTTTATGTAGAAAGAATGAAATAAATAAATGAAAAGGTTGGCCTATAAATTAATTCTAGCCTCACTTCTATTTAAATAACTGTGTAATGTCTATTTATAAAATTAACAAGCTGTCAAAAATGAAATAGACATTACCTGTGGAACAGACTGAGACAGTGGTCTCCCTTGATTTGGTCTAGCAGACGGCCCCCTAAATCCCTGGGGTGGGGGAATTAATGGACCTACTTCTTCATCCTCGGGTGCACCATTGCCCTTAAAATATACAAAGAAGTTGTTAACCAATTACCACTGAAGAATTTCATAAAATATATTTGAAAAGATTCTTATTTATAAGCATGTTATGCTTTAGAAAGGAATTAATTTTTCGTTCTTTACAAAGGGCAAATAAGAGTTTTTAACTTTAGAATAATGATTTTTGAGCATGTTAGATTAAGAAAGTAGCCCTGAATATGAAATTATTTGTCATAAAAGTAGCAAAATGTAAACAAAGAAGAACTTTGACTTCCACACAAAATGCTGAATCATTATTACTTTATTTATTGCCAAAAAGCAACAGAAGCGAAAGATGGTTCAGGTAATTGGCCAGTATTAAGTAACTTTTACAGGACATCAAAAATTAATATACTGATAAAAGCCAATATTTCATAGATAATCTATGAATTTTTTTCCATTATTTAATACCTGCATGCCATTTTCACTGCTTTCTAAAATTTTGTCCATTTCATACTCGTCACTGGTGTCCATTGGCTGAACCCTCTTACCAGGTCTAGCCGACCTCATGGGAGCCTCACGGATTGGCACAGCCATTCCATTCACCATGGGTGGCTTATCATCTTGGTTATTTAAATCAAGCTCTTTTTCATCTTCCATATTTTCCTCAACATATCTGAATTAAAATTTAGATTATTTTCTAAAATGGAATACAGAGTAGATTAAAGGTCTGTATGTAATCCTAATCTATTTCTAAATATTCAAAGAGAATATTATCTTTCAAAAGTTTGAATTCAACACATATGATAATTCAATTATTTACAATACTAAAAATATATGATAAATTCTTCATTGCATATCTTTAAACCCAATAAAGTAAACCAATTTTTTCATGCAACGATTGGCTCATTGATATAAACCTAAGAAAATATTTTTTACCAATTTTGAAAACAATTTAATAACTTATCAATTTTGCACTGTTTCAGTCTATACATTGCTTAAAGAAAACAAACATTTAATATAACTACAAACTTACAGTAAATAAAGAATATTCTGTATTTCAGTTTATTTTTCATACCTAACCTAGCTGGCAATGTCAGCTTGATCCCTTGATGTAGGGAAACATATGCAGTAAATAAATACACAAAATCACCTGTTTTCATGTTTCTGAGGAGGACCTTTAGAATATTTTGGGGATGGGATCCCTGACTGAGCCCTCGGTGGCCTAGATGTTGCCGAGGGAGGAGGGTGTAAAGGGGCAGCGAACCCTCGTGGAGGGGTCAAATTCTCTGGTAACTCCGGTGGGGATCGAACATCCAAATCTCTGTCTATTTCCTTCTCAATATGACCAAGTCTTTCACGTCTTTTCTTCTTCTTTTTCTTGGGAGGTTTATCATCTCTATTTAAGTTGGGTCTAGGAGCATTTTCTAATGGCATTAACATGGGTGGTGGTAAGATCTTTTTACCTTCCAACATTCCTGTAAAGTAACAAATGTTCAGTTATTTATCACAATACCTTAAAATCAATATACAAATGTACATAGATTGATTTATCATACTGCCACTGATAAAAAATTCCCTTACATGTACTTTTTATTTGTAAGAATTGAAAATTACTTTGTTTTAGTTATTTATGGTACAACCTCTGCAAAGAAGCAGCAGTAGAAAAAATACCAACACAACTCAAAAGAAAACAGACACAAAATAAATTTAAGCTCCCCAGAGCAACATCAAAATCTTGGTCTTCAAACTGGTGATATTGCACAGGTTGTACGGTATAACAAAACTTTGTGAATACATTTCCTATTCTTTAGCCAAGGGGAACCAAACTAAAGCTTTAACAATATCAAAATATACCATACAGACAAAGTAAGAAAATGTAAAATGTAACTTTTCTTTTCAATTCTGAAGTGATTAATTTTAAATTAACTGTTTTTGTTTATTTAACTTTTTGAGGACCTTGCTATAAATGCATAATGAATTATTACATTTTTTAATATTACCTATCAATTTTAACTTAAGAAATACATACAAAGTATCTAACAGACCAGCAATTCCTTAATATAATAGAAGGACTTCCATCATTTGATAAGACAAATCATTGTGTCAATTTGCAAAATCTTTCCAAATTTCTTTGGTCATAATAGTAAAGCTTAAACAATAGCTTTAACAAAGACATCTATTATGCCTATTGTCAAAGACAAGCCATGCAAGAATTTTAAAGTTTGCAAAGGGGAATAATCCAGTAAAATTCTGATTTTAAGACAGAGGGATGGTAATAAAGAAATTATTTTGAATTTCTGAGCACAACTAAAAGTGTTTCTGAAAAAAAATCATTAACCTGGTGGTCTTCCAGAAGAGTCTGGTCTGCTGCTCTCCCTTCCTGACTGGTCCCCTGAAGGCGGTGAAGTCAAGTCCCTGAGGTTTGAGCCTGAACCTGGTCTGTTTACAGGTGAGGGCGAGTTGCGTGGCTGAGGTTTGGGAGGTGCGGGCTGCAATCTCGGAGGTCTTGGAGCAGGGCGCGGTCTGTTTGGTGGGAATGATTCTGCAGGGTTGGGTGATGGGGATCTGTTGTAAAAATTATCGTGACTTCTTTGAGCACCAGGCGCTGGGTTTGAAGCCCGCATTGGAGGGCGAGGCTGCATGTCCATAGAATGTGAGTCCTCAGACATGTTTTCAGAACTTCTTCTGTAGGGTGATTGCTGAAAAAACATTCAAGTTGTCATAAATCCTCGTATCTCAAGTTATGCAAGAACTCAAATACAATTAGAAAAAAATGCATTAGGTGGTACATTAAAGGTTTACTTAAACACTTCAACAAAATCATCCTATAAACTAAACATTAAGTTTGTTGGTCCTTATAGAATGCAATAGTGTTTATATTTTCTTTCATGTCTTGATGCAAAAAAATTATTTTCTAACAATATCTTTGGCAATTTTCCCTGTCCTGAGCTTAAACAAAACCTTTGTACATTAACTATTTTGTCATGCCATTAATTTAAACAAAACAAAAACTCAATATAAGAAACTTTAACTTACCATAGACTGTGCATAGCCATTGACTCCAGGGGGTCTTGGAGCATATTTGGGGGGTGATGGAGGATGAAAGCCAGGTCTTTGTCCCGGGGGAGCTGCAGGTCTCTGAGGCCCAGGTCCCCGTCGAGGAGGCGGCCCTCTTGATGTGTGTGGTGGCATATTGTCCTCGTCTTCAATGTCAGAAACATCCATCCCACCCACACTTACATTGTCCACATCATCATCTGCCTCCAATACTTCATCTAAATGTTTGAAAGAACCAAATTAATGTAATATACTTTTTATCATTTGTGTCGATGTAGGAAAATAAATTTAAAACGTTCACATCTGACCTCCATCAACCAATTTAGTTAACTTCTCCATACCTTCGTAGGCATCTGCCTTTGTAGACAACATCAATATTAGCATGTTGTTCGGAAACTATCAACTAGATATATTTATAAGTAAATTCAAACAGCAGTAAGAGATATGTGGCATTTAATAGCCATACTGTTGTCAAACCAATGACAGAGAAACATGTACCATACCTATTATTCACCTTCTCAACTCTCTAGTCAAAAAACTTTACTAATCATACATTTCTGTTAAGGTTATGAAATACAAAACTTACACTTTGAATGAATTAATAACATTAAGCTTTATAAAATATAAACTAAATTATGTATTTTAAAATCACACATAAAAATTTTTGTTAGGAAAACTATTCTTAGCAAATGGCAGCCCTGTGATAAAGTATGAGTTGACAAACCTTCATGTGAAATCAAAGTATTTCTTGGTACTGAACATAATCCCCCAGCAAATAATAGTATCCAGTGATAAAGCAAATGTTAATGATTATAAGGCATTTTTATACATCACAGTGTGGTAAAAGTTGGACGTAGAAAGTTTTTGCAGTAGCCAGTAGTTACTCTAAGTGCTGATCTACCTTGATGAGTAAAGGTACAACCTCAGACAATTGTGTCAGATTACTGATTCTTTGGCTCTATGGTCTGGAGCATTGTTACCTCCTTTGTAAGGGAGCAGTCACAAGTGCGAATTCCAGCCACCGCAGGGAATTTTTCTAATGCATTTACATCATTCTGCTCCGAAGTACAAATGTTCATAACACAGTGATTTCACTGGCCACTTGGACGGAAAAAAAAGACCCCTGCAAATCTGACCAAACCAAATGTGCTAATAAACATCAATGTTTAACCAAGTGATTTAGAAAATTTTAAGAACTATCAAACAATACTCACAAACATTATCATCAGTTGCCATGGCAACCTCTTCTCTCTGAGACTGACGTTTATGTGTATAACTTTCATTAGGCACTGACCTACTTGACTTCAGTGAAACCTGTATTTAGAATATTTTGCTTGTTAAGTTTCCTGCCTACACTTTCATAAAATGTATTTCAAACCATGTTGGTGTATAAACATTATAAGACGTATTGTTTTTAAAAACTGTCCAATGTTGTGAACCAAGACTTTATAGATGCAAATCTTTCCCATTGAATTATTTGGGAAGACTGTACAGAGCACAACAACATATATAATATACCAAAATAAAGTACAAAGATCTTTCTACAAATAAAGAAATGATGATGATTCCAGAATATTCTTTTTCAGATTTTTTTCCCCGAAAAATATAGTCTGCACTGCTTGCGAATATATGTATAAACCTCATAAAAAGCATACATGTAGTAAATTTTATTTGATTTATTGTAATATTTTTCAACAAATTGCATTTATCTTTCATTTTCATCTTAAACAGTAATTCGATTTTTTTTAAATGATCTAAATATATGAATGAATAACATAATTTGAAAACATACATACAAAACAACTAATCAAGAAGTGCTTTGATTTATTTCTATTTTTCATTTTTAAATCATTTCAAAAATATTGAAATGTTAATATAATTTTCTTAATTTTTCAGTAAAAGTAAGATAAAATACCTCTATTCTTTCATTTGGTCTAGTGCCCTGCATTTCTCCGGCACTATTTATCATTCGGCGTTGATTTTGCTGACTCTCCATCGTAGACTCCCGACTGAACGTACTTGGCGCTCGGTACAGGGTGGATTGTGTCGATTCCCGGTCTTGGTTGGAACCGAGACTGCGTGATCGTCGGACTATACGAGATGTCCGGGGTCGTTTTGGAGGATGGGGCGGCGTGATTGGCATGCTATCTACACTCCCTCTGGTACTCTGGTAATGAAGAAAAACAGGAATATTAAAATATTTTACCCTTTTTTTTTTATTTCAATTTCAAATAGAAGTACAGAGAAAAATAAGTGTATATAGTAAGCACATTGCTATATGATTTCAATCTCTTGCTATAATCAATGACATCAATTTCAGTTAAGAATTTTTTTAGCATTAAAAAATTTTTGAATATGTTAAAGACACAATTCTGACAAATTCTTAGTTGATGCTAATCAATTCAGAAAAAATGATTCTTATGCAAAACCTTACATTTTATGAAAAACTAGAAAATCTAAAAAAATTAATTAACCCTTTGAAAACTTTCACAATCTTAATAAAAAAATTACATGCTTCTTATGAATCATGAGGGATACACTTAAATTTGTTCATATAAAAACATATCAACACTTACAGCATAATCAAAGTCCCCGTCGAAATCACCTTTGTAAAATGACAGGGAACCGTTCATCATTAGACCGAGACCATTTGGTAGAGGACTTGTGGGATTACTGACAAGACGTTGACGCTGATGTGACATGATAATGAGCTGACAGTAATGAAGTTGGCGATTCTTCCCATAATCCCACGGTGTAGCATTAAATTTGTCCACTGCCGAAAGATCCGCTATAAAAGGAAAAAGAAATAACACAGAAATGAAAATTTTAATCAGTTACATTACAAAAACATAAAAATAAAGCAGTTTTCAATTATTTTTTTTTAATTTTTTAAATAGAATGGAACATAAATGAAGTTTATGCATATTCACGACCTTTTTTTCAGACTATTGTAATAATACATTAAATAACCTTAAAATTAGGAATATGTTATCTTTCATTTTATCACCATGAACTAAAACCACTTTCCTAAATTCAAAGGAATAATGATTTTTTTCCCCAAAAATAGAAATAAAAATTTACACAATTAGTACCTGAATGGTCTAAGAGATAGTTGACAACGTCACCATGGCCACCTATGGTTGCTAGATGCAGTGCGTTCCTGCCTTGTGAATCACGGTCATTGACGCACTGTTTACCGGCTATATCTATTATTATTTTACAAGCTGCCAGGGAACCTGTAATATACACAAAACACATCTGAGATTCCTACCTTCAGAAACATAGAGGAGAGCAAAGGACAGCATTGCAAAATAAGCCTTTATAAATAAAATCTTTTTACTATATTGCTGTGTTAATGCGATAGTTTTTGCAACAAAAATAGCCAGAATAAAGCCTAATAAACAGTAGGTTTTAAACTGAGTGCAAAATGAAAGCATGTTAAGAAAATAAAGAAAATATACCGACACTTTGGCATTTCAAAACTACATGTATGATAATGTAGCTTAAAATAATAATCACTATCTCCACATTTTAGTTACTTGTTTAAATATAAATACAAAGTAAATAAGCTGTCACTGGGAAAGTGTGCTCTAAACATTTCAATGCTTGACAGTTCTGAAGATATCTGAGAAGTTTAACATTATTTCTATACACATAGTTACATACTAATAATGAACAATAAAATTACATGAAAAACCTTAATAAATTATTAATAATAGCTCCCCTTCTCTCAAAATTTCATCAGTGAGGCTTAAACATTAACTCTTAACCGGCTGAATTTGTGCTATATATTTGGCCTACTTTAAACTGAGGGCAGTCCATTTTAGGTTTAAGCAATTTTGATTGAGCTACCAACAGCACAGAGGCTGGCTTAAGTCTGTATGGATGTGAACGCTGACCTGGCTCTATACTGGTGACAAAAGCTTATCACTTTTGTTTCACAGCAGGGTAAACGTTACATTATTAAATGGTAGACAAAACAGTGCCAGATCAATTGTAATTTCAGATTCAAATTTCACTTTATCTATCTTTACGCAATTCTAAATTTTACATTCAAAATACACGACTATTCCCGTAACAAAACACAATGACAAAGGTTTCATATTTCAAAAATCAATCTCTTAATAAATGGCCTATTGAATAACATTTATTTCATTTTTTCCTGATCGTATGACATTAATGCTTTTTTTAAATTTCAATTGATCTGTTTTAGCAGCATGTTCTCACACCAAAGTAAATAATGTGCAATTGAAAAATAATCAAATAAAAATTTGAAATATTTTCAACTTTAATAAAGAGATGACATATTTAAACTAATCAACAAAAGGTTTGGGAAGCAAATATTTTAGAAACTACAGTATTATATGTAATCAATTTCTCATTCTCCTAAGATATTAGGTTATGACACTGGCCGATTTAAATATACATGTGTACGATAGAGGATATACAAGTTTTGTCTATTAATACAGGATTCATCCAGTGGTATGAAAATTAATATTTCATGAGTGGCAGTAGCTACGAGTGAAATATGATCATTTTCATATCACAAGATGAAAATAAATCTTGAAACTTGAATTTTCTGTTTATTATATAAATTTATCAATAAACTGTTGAGTTTTAAAGAACTCCTGATTTCTGGTTTTAAAGCAGCATACTTCCATGCTAATTTCTAAACGTGTGCAGCTTTTAAACAAAAAACAAGTATTGAATAAGCAGACTTTAAATATCATTAAACCTTAGCCTGGTGGCTATCCATGTGACCAGTGCATACCAAGATCAGCCTGTGCTTTATGATTATGGTCTGCACAATTCCCAATTCAGTCAGAACATATTTTCTTTTGTGAAAGTTTTCTCTATCCAGAAGAAAAGGCATTTCCATTTCAGATAAATAGTCTTACATCAAAAGCTATACAGGTATTATTATGATTTAATTAGCATGACACAGGCCAACAGGGGTAAACTTTTTTATTTCAATTTTTATAGCTGATATTAAATAGGTCAAATTCCACATGGAAAATATTAACATTTTTTGCTCTCAACTGTTGGACAAAAATGCTAAATGGAAAAAGGTGTGTCAAAAGAGCTTATTACGATAACATGTTTGAATTGTTTGTATTTTATACATTTAAAGACAATTATTTCACACCTTAAACTGATTTTTGTGTAAATTCCCAATTTTGAACAAAAACTGCTAAAATTCCCAATCCTTACAGGACATACTGACAGTATAGGTCACATGTTCCCAAACTACTCCAGCATTTGACTTAATTAAGGTGATAAGAAGATGACTTACCCATTTCTGCGGCTGTCAGTAAGACAGTTCTACCTTCCTCATCTTTTATAGTGGCTGTGTCTGATGTAAGCAATGTCTGAAACACATAAATATTTCATATTTTAATACATGTAAAGTGTTGTTTTTTTCCCTTCTACACTTATATAGACATATTTGGTATAAATAAATCCATTTCAAACAGCAGACAAAATTTCTCTTCCACTATTTTCCTAAAATGGACCTGTAAAAATTATCAGCCCAGTCAGCATGGGGAGTGTGAAACTACATGTAGATACACATTTATGTATTCATTGGAGGTACATATAACATTATCCCCAAGAATAGCACAATGACTTCTGTAGTTTTCTTTTTATTTAATACATTCTGTAAAATGTTATCAAACTAAACTGTATACATCAAGTTTCCTTTACAAGTAAGCATATGAATACAAAGTTGACACACATCTGTGACAGAAAAATAGCTTGTGGGTAACACCCTGAAATACGATCTTGATGTAAATATTTCTTTGAATATATCCATTTTTTTTTCCATCAGAAAACTTATAGGTATAAGACAAAAGATTTTTTCTACTGCAGTGTACAAATAATTATGAATTCTAGGATATAGTTTCAAGGCATAATCTTGTGATTTCGTATGCCTATGGTAATCTGTCTCTTACCTGTAAACATTCTAACGGTTCCATTCGCCTTACAGCCCAGTGCATCCAAGTTCGACCAATCAGATCTCTCTCAATACCGTCAGCGTCGTCCACATGAAAATTCTCGGCTTGACAGAGATACTGGAAATGTTCTATATGATCAAGGCGACACGCCCACATACACGGAGACAGACCGTCCTTGTCACGAATGTTCACGTCGGCATGGTGATTAATAAGTAACTGAAACACGATATCAAAATAATGTACCGTATTTTTTACTTGTTCACAAGTCAGTTTGTCTTTGCTCTAATTCTTACACAAATAAACTTTCACTGACTTATTGGCAGGTCAAGGAAAGTATCAAATCATTAAAACTCACTTATAAATTTTCAAAACTATTTGAACATGTAAAAATTTCATTTTATGATCTTTTTTCATCTTTGATCAAGATTCTGGAAAGAAAATATTTCATTTTATTTTTCATCAGACATACAGTAGATGTAAATACATGACAATGTATATGATAATGATTCTAGAAAGGAAATTTCACTTTATTATCTATTGCTAAAACATCAGACGTTTTAGCAACTAAATTTACTTGTGATAACAAAACATACAGCTTAAAATGAATAAAGACATTGAATTTTTGGCATAAAATCGAGGTCTTATATAGGCTATTTCCCACTTAACAGAACTGCTAGAAATTCCAAAATGTATCTGCGTGTTTTTGTTTGTTTTGTTTTTCATTTAATGCAAAAAGAAAATTTTCTATGTTTAAATATGATGATATATGTATATTCATTTGATAGGGGTAAAAAACATATCTATATAAATTATAAATACCTGTAAACAATCCAGATTGGGTGTAGTACAAGCCCAGTGTATCGGTGCCCGGCCCTGTGTATCTGGTATTGTAAAATCTCCACCACACTGCAGTAACATGTTTAATGCCATACTGTTAGAGTCATGACATGCCTGATGGATTGCCGTGGACCCATCTGTAACACAGAAAACATATTCCCATACACACAGTGACTAATACAAATAAAAATATTTATCAAAATGCAATACATTTAGAATGAATTTGAAATTTAATTAATCACCTTTACAATTTTGGTTAACACATGGCTGTTATATCATTTTACTATAAAATTTAAAATTGACAATTAAGTTTTTTTCCCAGGTTTGGGAAGCAGCCTTGCCCTTAATTTTGGGGGAAAAATACACTGTATACATTGTATTTGGAAAAGGGAAAGAAAAGAAGATGATGTAAATTCAATTTTTGGAGAAAACTGCATGATTTTAAAAGAATTTTTCTTTGGGGAAGCAGCCCTATAACTGTTCCTGCTATATAGAAGGAAAAAAAGCCCTGACAATATTTAGAATAAAACTAATGTATGAAATAATCATATTGATTTCAGTCTTTCTAATAACATATGGCTATTATTATATATATTACTCTTCATTTTACACATTTATTCTAAGAATTTTCAAGATGTTACATGTAAGTATATCATGACCTAATCTAGTTAAATGCAAAATTGTGAGAAAAAAATGTTTTTGTGCTTAAAGTCTGTTTATCTAAAAATAGAGGAAAGCATTGAAGCAAAGATTTGCCTCAAATCAAAGACCATCGATTATTACAAAGATAACATGCAGGACAACGAAAATGCCTGGTAAAATGGAAGATATTCCTGTCTCTTACTTTGTATATGATTACTGGTTTATTTATTTTACTAAAATATTGTTACAATGTTTTGAAGAAAAAAAAGTCATTTTATCTGAACTTTGTTCATTTTCTTCCATAATAGTATACATGTATGTCTTTTTTATATTAAATTTTATGATATTTATATTAAATTTCATAAATTAAGTAAAATAAATCAGCATCTATCAATCTGCTATATAAGAACAGATAATATTACCGGTTTACCCTGCAAAATTCAGAACTACCCTGTATGTCTGGCAGCAAAAGCTAAAAGGGTTATGATGACCTCAAAAATGTTGAAAATTTGTGTAATTTTGAGTAATGGGTTGAAATTTCCACTTTCTTTCGTAGATTATGATACTATTTATTTTGGGAAAAAGAAAAACTGGTAAATACCATGAGCAGATGAATTTGGATTTGCTTCATTCTCCAGAAGGCACTGTAATGCTGCCATCTGTTGAAAGTGAACAGCGTAGGTTAGAGCAGTGCGACCAAGACCATCTTGCTCATTAATACATGCAGGATCTGAAATAAATCATTAATTAAATTTATTAAAAATAAGGATTAAAATTTACAAACATCTATCTAAGCAATTTTCACAGTAAATTTAGAATTTTTAGAAGCATGAGAGAGAAGTTTTTGCTGTCTGGCAAGCAGTAATTTTCTTCTATATAGATATAAGATTATTGATAAAAGGATCATATATAAAATGAAATAAACAAAAAAATCTCCTAATTTGAAAATGGCATTCTAATGTCTTATAAAAAAAAAATATTTAGTCCGTACTTCCTATTTTCAGCCAGTGCTTTTTTGTTTTTTTCAAGTGCAGGGGAAATGGCCTTTCCCTTATTTTTGGGCAAAATAACTGATTGTTTAATTGACTTTTTGAGGAAAACAGCATGGTAAATTTTTTTTTAAAAGAACAGTTTTTGTGGGCAGTGACTCTTGCTGTAGAAGGAAGAATGTCTTGTTAGCTGAAATAATGTATAGACATTTGAACCCTGATTGCTTCACTGCTAACTTTGTGGATTTGACAATCAATACAATAACAGAGTTGTGTTTCATGGCATAAACATGGTAAGTAATCAAACATGCATACTTCAATTTACAACAAAGCTGGTACATATAAAAGAATTGAATGATTATTTCGACTAGTTGAAACATTTTTCAGCATCTGTAATTCATATTATACAAGCAAGTACCTTTACTACTTATTACTAAGTCTTAAAGATTAACCTATATAATAACATAAAAGCCAGTGTGCCAGTTTAAAAAAACAAAATGACATTTTTTTACCTGAATTTACAAGTTCATTTATAAGTTCAGTGTTCCCTTCTTTGGCAGCTTGAATAATTGGCGGCAACACAGTTATTGCCATACTCTCATCCAGTGTCATAGAGGCCTTTAAACGAGCACTGTCTAAATTGATCCATTTGTACTGAAATTTATCAGGTGCGTCAACAAATGGAGTCATGGGGCTCAAGCCCCGTGCAGTCAATGAAAGATTTGTTGCTAAATGTTTTTCTTGGTTCCGAGTCTGTAACACTCTGTAGTATTTCTGCATATGCAGAAGTGCCAAATTTAAAGAATCCCGGAGTTCTGCACATTCTGAATCTTCATGCAGTTTTAATAAGAACTCGTGAATAAATGCCGCTGCCTTTTGGAAATCTGAAGAAAAAAATAAAATAAAATGAAAAGATACAATATTTTGTTTCTGTAACATATTCTAAAGTTGGCATTTAAGTTTTACAACTCGTAGTGTTTATGGCCCCTGTGTCAATCAATTTTTGCCAACACTTCAGTCCTATATTAACGTTTTGTTTCTTATATCTATAAGTGACATTATACTCATTTTTTCATTTAATATGTCAGATCTGTTGCTCTGTTGAGCTGAATTGACTAAATATATCAAAAGATTGACTATTATGGGTGACTGATCAACAGCTGATATTGGAAAATGTTTAGGAGCCTAAAGCAGACAAATGAGCACCTTATATATAAATATCCTGCAAAAAAGGTTACCAGTCGCCTTCCCTAATACCTATAAACAGTAACAAGACCAACCATTCTTTATTGAAATACCTTGCCCCCTCCCAAATGTTGTCACATTGTCTGAGCCCATGTTCAATATGGCTGAAAGCCTGACTGAACAGGACTCGTCTTAAATACACAGCACGGTCCTGTTTTTGTCTATTTAAACTATAAATAGTTTATATATAAATCTTACTTTTAGGGGTGTATTTTTATATTTCTTGAAATTCAAATGAAAAGAGTACAAATATGTGAACTTTACATATCTCTAATTTTAATGAGATTGTTTTAACCTGCACCATAAGCAAAGATATAAATAATACATATTTGCAGTTAATTAGCATTAGTAAATTATAACCAGGAACTAAAATGCTAATTAATGTATTTCTTCATTGTAAAACTTTAATGTTTTTTTTTACTGTTGGTAGATTCCATATGCTTCCATTTTTTTTCATACATAATTAAATTGAAAAAGATTTCCATAATTCTTAATTACATGTGCATTTTTATTTTCATTCTAAAATGAGGCTGTTGACATAATTGCCCTGGCAACAAGATATGGGTAGAATTATTTTCCGATTTGATTTGTTAAATGAGTATGGCATGATTATATATTTCATGATGTTACACCCGTGAACAGTTTCAAGCATTTAATGTTGAATACTACTTATCTTTAAGATTCTGTTAATAGAAACCAAAACAGGTAGAAACTTGTTTTCAAAAGGCTAACATGCGATGCTTTTTTCCCCCAAACATCATAACTTCTAAAGTTGTGAAGTTATTAACTGATATGATTGCTAAAACAGCGCAAAGTACATTAACCTTAAAACCACTATCAAATAAGTTGACAATTTGTAAACAATACACAATATATTTTTAAAAAAAACTAACACACACAAATGTAAACATCGAAAATTAGGTCAAACATTACCTTTGCGTTTGATAACCATTTTAAAGATTTCCTAGCTTTGAAATGAATGCAATACGTTCATATGGTATGATATAAAAGTAATTTTTATTAAAATGTCTTGTTTTTCTTCTCATCGTTCATTATTTACAACTACTTCCTTCACAAAATAAATCGGTCCATCATCGCAACCCTTCATCCAGCCGCCATTTTCTTTTTTCCCAGAATACCGTCGCGCACCTGTGTAATTTAATTGAACGTATGCAAAGCTAAAAGTAAAAGAGGCAAAGTGAAGGATAACTAAACAAAATGAATATAAGTTCTTTTTATAACCATAACACTAGACAAAAATCATAGTTTTATTGTTAAATACACAAAATATTATAAAGTAGTCCCTTCAAATTGCGACCGCTTTACCGTACACCGGTAATATTGAATACAGCAAATTCATCCGCCTTCGAAACGGCCGCCATCTTTTTTCCAGTTGTAAATATTTTGGTACATCACAGAAATCCGAAAACATCGGCCAGGTTTGAAGGCAGAAAAGACAATAAGTATTAAAAGCTTATACTTCATACATCTCTGGAATGGCCGATACTGACAAATTAAATATAGACAGCATAATTGCAAGGCTTTTAGAGGGTAAGTGCAAATCAAAATTGCTTTGTCCTTGTTTGTAAAAGACGATATCTGTCTTTCAAGTTTTGGAAGACCAAATTGAATTGAAATATAGATGTATCCTCTAAAACATATAATTAATCATATCCATTTTAAAGAAAGGTTCTGCACTGAAGATTTTCAATATTAGAAGCTTCAGATCCCTTACATTGATAAATTAAATGAATGATATTTGACGTTTCAATTGGAAGTGTCAGATTTTGGGGATTTTGAAGGAATAACAAGCATAAAAAGAAACCTCAGTATTTTTAATGAAAAGTGAACCACTTGTTGTATATGTATCAGTCATTTAACTCTCATAAATACCTCTCGGTTAAAATTCTTAAGTTACCTACAGTAACACATAGGGAATAAGTTTGAGTAGAGAAATATTAAAATCTATATTTTAATCTTTTATAATTAATTATTTCAATTAATATATATCTTTTTATGTTTCATGTGACATTTTTAACAAATTGTAGCTAACAAACCTAGCTTAGATTCAACTGCAAGGGAAGGACAAAAGCCCAAGCGTCCAAATAGGAGGCTTCTAACCGTAAAAATGACGGGGCGGATTTAACCCCTCCTGTAAACATGAGAGGACTGTTCTTGCATGGAGAGTTGGGAATTTAACTTGCGAATGGCACCCAAAGTAAACCACCACTTGGCATCAGACTGAAAAAAAGGAGAATTTCTTCCTTCCAAAGTCTCTCAATCGTGTTTGCAATGAATGCTGCAGATAGCTTCTGTCTAATTGACATCCAATAAGCACTGAAAGGAAGGGAGTTTGACAATTCAGCAGTGTACGGAATTCGGAAACGAATCCACTTGCCTGGTTGAGCTACCAGATTCAGGCTTCGTAATTAGCACTCGCCCGATCGTCCTGGCGAGTAAATATTAATTTCAGGCGACTAAAAATCCAATTATGCACGCCTGTCTGGCGAGTAGAATTTCCTATCGTGAAATTCATTATAGTAGTGTTCAACCGCGCACTTTTTGTCACGTCACTACTGTTTCTTGGCTTACTTCCGTTAGCAATGTAAAGCGAGTAATTTATTTGTAATCAACTTTGTTTATGTTCCGTTTTCCATTGTCCATTTACCTTCAGCATTAAAGATATGAAAAAAACCCATCAAAATTTGAAATATTTATTCGGGCTAGTAAAGTTGGTTTTGGGCCAGTAACTTCTCAAATGTTACCGAATGGCCAGTAACTTCAAAATGTTAATTTCAAAGATTGCAGATTAGAATATTCACTAGCCTGAAAGACATTTCCCTAACTTGATTCATTCGTACAAAACAGTTGTTTATATTTGCCACTGAAAATATGGTTGCACAGTCGATGTTCCTGTGAAATATTGGCAGCCTGAAGAAAAATTTGGTAGTCACAGGCTATCAGTCTACTGCTAATTTTGAACACAGAGTCAGTAAGACAGTCAAAGTTTAGCAATCTAATAAATTTTGTGTTTCTTTGTCCTATTTTCCGACATTTCATATTAAAAAATTGTGCATGTATGTGCTAATTTACTTTTCTTGTTTCAGAAGGGGTTGTGTTGAATTAAAGATAGAAATTGTCACAAGGTTTCATTTTGCAGCCAGTTTTCCAAGCTATAGGTTACATGAAATGTAATGATAACAAAATGCATCATTCATATTCTGGACAATTGACATTTTAAGCATATATTCACTGTCTGCACATGATGTTAATTGTGATTCTTTCCTTTTTAGAAAAAAATTAATACAATTGTAAATTTCAGTTCGTGGTACTCGACCTGGCAAAAATGTACAGCTGACAGAATCTGAGATTAGAGGGCTGTGTCTCAAGTCAAGGGAACTGTTCCTGAGTCAGCCTATTCTCCTGGAATTAGAAGCACCTCTTAAAATATGTGGTATGCATGGAAATATCTTCTATTTTCTGTTATGCTTAATATGTAATTGGAATGACAGCAGTTGAAATTGACATTTAGCCAAATAGCAAAAAAAAAAATAAAGAATAATTTCTCTTAGCTATTGGGCCAGTAAAAGAGAAAATTGTCAAGTTATTAGCCTGATTGGTTTGTAAATTTTAATGCTAATTGCTATTTATGACCGAAATTAACAAAAGGCACAAGACTGAAAGGAAATGTCTCTTTATAGTTGCTATCAAGACTATAAAGCAAGACTTATAATTCTTGATATAATAAAAAAGGGATATGATAAGCTACAGGGCCCTCGATCAACCAAATCTGCGGCCGATATTCGGCCGCAGTCCCCCACCGAAATAGTATGTTTTTTTCCCCCCTAACAGAGATAAAAATTCCCCCTCAAAACATATAAAGTGTGAAAGAGAAAAATTAAAACTAACGTTGTTTTTGAAAATTAAAATCCATCTATTTGACGTCTATTTTGTAAGCGGAATATCGTACAGTACATGTCTGCACGTTTCCGTTTGTTTTTTTCCCCAAAATCTACCGTCACATATTGGCTTTTCATCCTGTAAAAATGCTAAAATTTCAACAGAAATATGCAGAAGAAAATCACAATTCCCATCAACAATTTGATTTCAAATTGTTTATTCATGAAATCATTTTTTTTGTCTTCAAAATGTTACATCAACCACGGTAAATTTTGCCGTGAATTACAAACTTGTAAGTTTTGTTTTCATGATACTTTATTAAATAACTGATGAAAAACGATCTTATAATAAACAATCAATTTAATTTTATATAATTTACATCAGAAACAACTAGAATTGTGGATGTGTAAACAGAAAACAAACAAATTTTCATTTGTCACATATTTTCGCGAGGCCGATTTTTACGAATGTTTTACCTGGGACATTTTTTTATGTCCCAGGTTTTACAAAGTCAAGAAAAGGAAGCTTTGTCTTATTAAAAGGTGTGTTAGAACACTAGAAATGTAGTGTATGAATAGAATTTACTTTAGGTCCATGTATTGTTCATATTAGTGGAAATGGAGACATTTGTCTGGATGTGTTTCTAAATGATTAGGGGGGGGGGGGGATCATAAAGAAAGCTAAGCAGCATAAAGATCTGATGGTGTAAGGTGTTAAAAACTTTTCTTCAAATCTTATCAATCACTTCTGAACAGTTTAGTGTTACCTATTATGGATTTTTTACATGTAAATAAAAACAGCTGATATTTAAATAAGTGTACTTGATAATAAAAGAAAAGAGAAAAATTCCCCCCATACACTAAAATTCCCCCTGCTGAGGGTAGCGAACCGCTTCCCCCAAATTGGATTGAGGGCCCTGAGCTACATGTACTATATCTTATATTTCATTGTATGAAACAGTTAAAATTAGAACATTCAAACTACTTGAAGCTGATTCAATAATAAAGTTATACTAATGTATGAATGTTTTTTTTTCATAGGGTAAAATTGTTAAATTATATTAATAAATATAATTATAATTTAAAGAAACATGTTCTTATTTCAGGTGATATACATGGACAGTACTATGATTTATTAAGATTGTTCGAGTATGGTGGCTTCCCTCCAGAGAGCAATTACCTATTTCTCGGGGACTATGTGGACAGAGGAAAGCAATCTCTGGAAACAATCTGTCTTCTGTTAGCTTACAAGATCAAATACCCAGAAAACTTTTTCTTACTCAGGGGCAATCATGAATGTGCCAGTATTAACAGAATATATGGCTTTTATGATGAATGTAAGTAAAGATCATTTCATTGTTTGTTGTCTATACCATCTAGCCTGTGTGGCTGATATGTTGCCTTAAATGGTTAAGGTTTAGGCATCACATTTGCAGCCACCATGTATCCCTGCATGATTTTATGAGTTGGCTAAATGGGTTTGAAATACTGCAGTCTATTTATCCCGGGGTTGGTTAAAACCCAACAAAACAAGCAGAAGATTGTTAGTTCTACCAGTGTTCTTTCCAATGCCTGAAATAACAGAGTTGTGACATTGGTCATCCTCCATCAGTAAAAGCTTTGTCAACATTTAACTTGAAATTAAACAAACCAAACAAAATTTATATATCCTATTAAACTTGTTCTATTGCCGTTTTGCTTTTATTTTGTTAAATGAATTCAAAATCTTATTGATAAGTTGATGTGTGATGTACTTTTTTGATTAAACAAATTGTCAAAAGATACTGACGTTAAAGAAAGAACATAAAACAGTGCCTGATATTTGATAAGAAAGTTATTAAAAAATCATCTGCGTCCACTTTGTATTTTGCTTGACAGGTGATGTTGAATGATCTGACAACTTAAATACATCTGAAGTGTTATTTAAGACATTTAATTACGTCTAATATAACTAGATTGTTGTAGTGAAAATGATCAAAAATAAATTATCCATTATCAAAGGTATTCAGAATTATTTCAAATCTTTAAGGAGAGGTTATTTAAACTTCTAAAGGAACTACTTTTGTATTTTCTTAGGTAAACGAAGATACAACATCAAACTGTGGAAAACATTCACAGATTGTTTCAACTGTTTACCCATCGCAGCCATTATAGATGAAAAAATTTTCTGTTGTCACGGAGGTCTGAGTCCCGACCTTCAGTCTATGGAACAGATCAGGCGTATCATGCGACCAACAGACGTACCAGATCAAGGTCTTCTGTGCGATTTGTTGTGGTCAGATCCAGACAAGGAAACGATGGGCTGGGGAGAAAATGACAGAGGAGTATCGTTTACATTCGGTGCAGAAGTAGTGGCCAAATTCCTTCACAAACACGATCTGGATCTTATATGTAGGGCACATCAAGTAAGACTTGCACTAAATAACTAGTGCTTATTTACTTTGTTTTCTGCGCTTTGGAAGATGTTACATTTTAGAGTCACCAAGGAGCAGATTATCTTTACATTTTTGTGTATAAAGCATTTCATGCCAGTGTGACTGGGTTAGAAATTTATGAAGGTTCTTTAAAATGACATAATGCCCAGCGGCCAGCCAGGGGTATATAGTGAGTGGACAATTGAAAATCGATTATCTTTTTGCTTAGTTTCTTCAATTTTATTTACATTACACTAAATAAATAACTCGCATAACCCAAGGATATTTCTGTAAGTATCCATCAAATTTACCTGTAACATTCATTTTATAAAATGAGTCTATTTCTATTGTAGGCAAATTTATATTTTATCCGTAACATATTCCTATATCAACTGTTGGTCAATCACTGTTACAGTCATTCTTTTGAAATATCTGGTCAATTCAGGTCATCTTGAAAATGAGCATAATGTCACTTAAGTGCCTGCACATTAATTTATAGTAACAATGCATCAAAATTGATAAAATGCATTAATTAGAATGCATTTGCTGCCTAATGTTTGTTAGGTATTATTTTAAAGGCACATCTATAAATTGTTGCTCTGAGCCTCATTCACAAGAGAAAGTGGATGGGAGGACATAACAATACTGAGTTTAGATAAAGTATCTTTTTAGCTCACCTGAGCATGCTCAGGGTGAACTTTTAGGATCGATGATTGTCCGTCGGCCGTCGTTCATTCACATTTAGTTGTTAACACTCTAGCGGTCGCATTTTTGCCTCAATCATCATCAAACTTGGTCAGGATGCTTATCTAGTTGATAGCTCGGATGAGTTCGAACATGGGTCATCTCAAATGAAAAACTAGGTCACCAGAGCTAAAAATAGAAAAACCTTGTTAAAACTCTAGTGGTCACATTTTTGACTCAATCATCATCAAACTTGGTCAGGATGCTTGTCTAGGTGATAGCTCGAATGAGTTCGAACATGGGTCATCTCGGATGAAAAACTAGGTCACCAGAGCTAAAAATAGAAAAACCTTGTTAACACTCTTGTGGTCACATTGCATCAATCATCATCAAACTTTGTCAGGATGCTTGTCTAGGTGATAGCTCAGAAGAGTTCGAACATGGGTCATCTCAGATGAAAAACTAGGTCACCTGAGCTAAAAATAGAAAAACCTTATTAACACTCTAGTGGTCACATTTTTGCATCAATCATCATCAAACTTAGTCAGGATGCTTGTCTAGGTGATAGCTTGGATGAGTTCGAACATGGGTCATCTCGGATGAAAAACTAGGTCACCAGAGCTAAAAATAGAAAAACCTTGTTAACACTCTAGCGGTCACATTTTTGCCTCAATCATTATCAAACTTGGTCAGGATGCTTGTTTAGGTGATAGCTGGGATGAGTTCGAACTTGGGTCATCTCGGATGAAAAACTAGGTCACCTGAGCTAAAAATAGAAAAACCTTGTTAACACTTTAGCGGTCACATTTTTGCCACAATCTTTATCAAACTTGGTCAGGATGCTTGTTTAGGTGATAGCTTGGATGAGTTCGAACATGGGTCATCTCGGATGAAAAACTAGGTCACCAGAGCTAAAAATAGAAAAACCTTGTTAACACTCTAGCGGTCACATTTTTGCCTCAATCATTATCAAACTTGGTCAGGATGCTTGTTTAGGTGATAGCTGGGATGAGTTCAAACTTGGGTCATCTCGGATGAAAAACTAGGTCACCTGAGCTAAAAATAGAAAAAACCTTGTTAACACTCGAGCGGTCACATTTTTGCCTCAATCATCATCAAACTTGGTCAGGATGCTTGTCTAGGTGATAGCTTGGATGAGTTCGAACATGGGTCATCTCGGATGAAAAACAAAGTCAGCGGAGCTAAAAATAGAAAAACTTGTTAACACTTTAGTGGTCACAATTTTGACTCTATTGTCATCAAACTTGGTCAGGAAACTTGTCTAGGTAATTGCTCGGATTATTTCGAACATGGGTCATCTCGGATGAACAACTAGGTCACAGGAGGTAAAAATAGAAAAATCTTGTTAATACTAGTGGCTACTGTTTTGCTCCAAATATCCTGTAAATTGGTCTGAAAGTTTGTTTTGATGATTTCTAAGTCAAGTTCGAACATTGGTCATCTCTGATGAAAAACTAGGTCACATTGCCCAAATATGGAAAAACCTTGTTAACACTGTAGTGGTCACATTTTTGACTCACCTGTCATGAAACTTGGTCAGAATGCTTGTCTAGGTAATTGTTCGGATGAGTTTGATGGGTCAGGTGAGTGATCTAGGGCCATCATGGCCCTCTTGTTAGAGGAAGTTACTAAAATCAGGGATTTTTTTCACAGTTTGGGAAAGCAGCCCTGCCCTTAATTTTGGGGGAAAATTACACAGTATTTTTGCAGAAGTGGAAGGAAAAAATTATTTTTTCTTTGGGAAAGCAGCCCTGTAACAGCCCCTGCTATAGACGAAAACAGCGCCGTATTTATTCATTATTTGTTTTATGTTTCAGGTAGTAGAAGATGGTTATGAATTCTTTGCTAAGCGTCAACTTGTAACGTTATTCTCTGCCCCAAATTACTGTGGTGAATTTGACAATGCAGGTGCTATGATGAGTGTAGATGAAACGCTTATGTGCTCATTCCAGGTTAGTTCAAAAACATGAAATTTTTTTACTTTTATCTTTAACTTGGTTAAAATGAGTCATAATATGTAAATGTGGATTAAGAATTAAATATAAGGAGGTTTTTGTTTTTGCTTATTTAAGAAAATAAAATCCAATTTTACAGAGCTTTAGATAAGATGCATATTTATGCATTTAAAATAATGAAATACACCTCAAAAATTTTACTTCGGATGTACCAATACCCATCGAAAACATTGGGTATGCATTTAACTATTTAAATGGCATAACTGGTCAAATTTTACTTTCTTGTTAAATATATTTGACTATTTCAGAAAAGGCAAACCTTTTTTATTAGTTCACTATTTTCATTTTTAACTTGATGCGACTGCTAATGCAAGTTCAGTCTTGTGAAAAATGTGACTAGCATTCTCTTTAAGGAGGAGAGTAGGGTTATCCTTAAAATGTAGTAGGGGCACTGTACCAAAACTGGACTAGATGAAGTGCATCTGTTACTTTTTTACCCTATTAATACTATATTATGAAATTTTAACGATCATATTTAAGAAGATGTTTGTAAACATTGTGCTCATGGTACATTACAGATCTTAAAACCAGCAGACAAGAAAAAATTCCCATATGGAGGCTTGAACGCAGGACGTCCTGTCACACCACCTCGAGGGACTGCTAAGGGGGGGAAAGGCAAAATGTAAAAAATAAAAGGGATAATTGAGATTAGAGTGTGTTGACGAAAAAATAGTGCATCAGTTAGACACATGCAAAATGGTTGGACTCAGAGAAAAAGTGGATTTGGACAAACACTGTGTGATCAATTGAGGAATAAACGTGGAAAAATGGTCTGGTCCATTCATAGAAGAGCTGTAGAAAAAGTGACAATTTTAAAATTAAATGTTCTGTGTGTGTGTATATATATTACATTATATTAAGACTGACCCATTTTGCAGCTGTTTTATGAGTGGATTTCAAAGTTGTTAATTTTACAAGTGTGTACATACTTGGTGAGACCTACAATGAAATGAATGTATTGGTGTTATTTTTTTGTGTGACAGAAGTTTGTAAAACTGACATTTGTAAATTTTCTCACTAAAAAAAATCATGGATGTTTTTTTTTTGTTATTTTGATATTGAAAACTACAAAGCCCTTGCATTAATAAGTATATTACTTACTTGAAACTTCCCTGTTGACTTGCAGGGAAGATTTCCCTCTCCACTTTGTGTCAAAAGTTGATCATATCATTTGAAAGGCTAGTCACAGAGTATTAACATAATTCATACCTCTGAATTTTTTTCTTTTCATCATATCTCTACTCGAGAAATTTGATCATTCAGAAAAGTATAGCTTAGGTGTTGCGCTGACGAAAGCTGTAACAGTTTGTAATATATATATGTATGTATTATATCATCAAGACATATAAATTTACTGAGACATTTCATTATTATATTTATAACCGTTCTGTTAGTTTCTTATTTGACTTGAGTAAGTTGTGCTACCATGTTTTGTGGTGAAATATTACATAAAAATCAAAAAAATTTAGCTGTAATTCTCAAAGACCGTGTAATGAAAGTGTAGCAGTGAATTTATTTGATCTTGCTCTCATTTTTGTACTATAATTACTGTGATACACACACTGTTTTGCTGGTTTGTTTAAACTTACAAAATTCACATTTTTGAACCTTCAAAAATGCCAATTCAATGACATTGCCCACCTGGAAAGTACAAATGTAGTGAATTAATATCTATTTTCAAGATGTTCACATGTTGGTTGATTATATGGTCTTGACTCTTTAAATAACGTCTCTACTGTATTTGAAGTTTAGATTATTTGTACATTTTAAGCTGTAAATGATCAAAATGTTGGTGATTTTAGAAAGCAGAATAGTGCTGTGCTTTTTGCTAAAGAAGTCTTGTGTCAATAACTTTACAAGAAAAATTATCGGCCATTTTAGTACACTTTCTGTATATTAAGAAATAGAAATTATGCTTTTCAGACTTGAGAAGTTTAATAAGTTATGTATCCCTCTTTACTCTAGGTCAAGTACTTTCTTGTTTATAGTTTTAGTATTTTGTTATTTCCTCCCCAACTGGAAAAAAGGTGGCCAGCCGAACTATAAAACCAAGAATTGGATGCCAGAAAATGGTATACAGAACTGTTTTTATCTGAGCAGGAATTTGATTATTGTACATAACATTTGTGACATAAATTTGTGACATAACTTAGTATTTGTAGTTTTTTCTGTGTACATTGTATATTTGTTGTAAGATAAAAGCGTAATAAGGTAGGAGAAATCTCGTAGAAAAACGTGTAAGAGACCACTCATAGACTTAATATTGAAGTATTATATTGAAAGTGAGATGAAAAGTAATCATTAAGTAGTCAATAGGAAAATATAGATGTTTTTTTTTATATTGAAATGACAAAAAGTAAATAAAAATTACTGATTTTAGAAACTTTTTACCCTTTCTCATGTTAAGTTTTAAGTATTTACTAACTTGAATAGATAAAAAAAAATGAAATTGATTCATAATGCCATTCTGTTTTTAAAGAAATAATGTTAGTAAATACTGAACAGGACTAACTATACTGTAGAAATGTGACGAATATCTGCATTGTGTTTTATAATAAATCACACTATTATGTAAACCAGCAGACAGGCCTTTGTTATATAACTTGAAAAGGGAGTCCAGTCTTATTATAAACAACATTCTATCGGTCAACATCAAGTGAAGATTTGATTTTGACCAATGAAAAAAGCTGTATTATATAGGCTGGTTTTCGGTCTTACGGTTTATAAGCTTGAGCCCAGCATACAGATAAGAGAATTTTGTACAGTTTTAACATTATTTGTATCACGTCTTAACTAGTGTTTGTGAATGTTTCTAGTAGATTCTCTCTGTTTATTTAAATATGAACTGGCAAATAAAGCGAATAGATATTTTTATAAGGAGTTATTTGATCTATTTATTGACATAAGAATGGATTAACCAGTTGCAATAATTAGTTATGCAAGGCTAAAGAGAGTTATGTGATTGTGTGGCAGCATCTGGGACACTTCTGAGAGCTCATGCTTCTAGCAGACAGATTCATGTCTGTGAATAATAGAAGTAATTGTAGTTATAAATGACAGGATACGAGACAGAATGAAAACGTCCAGGGGAGACAATTGTTATTCTTCATATGGTTCCATTAATGTAAATTTTGAAGAATTTGCCTTTTATTACAACTTTACACTGTCCTTTCATCAGATTGAAACAATTAAAAACAAAAACAGTTGCCGGATTTAGAGTACCAAAAACAAACAACAGAAAACTACAACAAGACTACATTAAACTTGAATTACATGACGTTATAGTACTCGGCGTTGTTGTCTCCCTTTGATTAAATTTGCACTTCAGTGCGTTTAAGCTAAAGCATTTTAACACGTGACATTCTGACTTGTATGCATATACATTCTTTTGCTGGAATTAACCTGCTGCATCTTCTATTGAATTTTATCAAAATGGTAAAGCAATATAATTATGACTGAAATAAGTTTTCCTATGAAATCGAACATGTAAAAATTCTCAACTCGCATGTATATTCTGACCTTAGATGAACACCACACAGTTAAAACGGCTTTCATTTTGAGCGTTTGGTGCGGAGTTGATATATCTGTAGATAAGGAGTTGCAACCGTTTTGCACCGTACCGGATGTCGAATAAATATAAACAAGAGCTATCGGTAGGACAGCAACGCTCGACTATTCTTAGTGCTTGATAGTAAAAGAGCCTTGATAATGTAAAAAAAAGTTAACAAAATGGCCAAATTTTCCTTTAGATCAATGTTACAGATATAGGCCTATTATGCTCTCAAAGAAGAGTATAAAATTTCAACTTGTTTCAAAGCCAGATGTCAATAGTGTATGAAAATATCTGAGGTGGTATGCAAACTTTAACGTAAAAAAGTCGAAAAAGGGGCATAATTCTGTCAAAATGCTTGATAAAGTTACCTCCTCCTACATGTTGAGATCATGATGTTGAACAAGTGTGCAAAGGTTCAAAGCCATGTGTCAATGGACTTTGAAAATATTTGTGGTATTACAAAAACTTTAACGTGAATTCTAAAGTGAAAAAGGGGCATAATTCTGTCAAAATTCTTGATACAATTATCTCCTCCTGTCTACAGGTTGGGGTCATGATAGTGAACAAGTGTGCAAGGTTTCAAAGCCATATTTGAGGTATTACAAAAAGTTTAACGTAAGTGGTGACGCCGACGCTCGGGTGACTACAATAGCTGTACTTATTCCTATCGAATAATCGAGCTAAAAATACATGGTTGAGCTTTTGTTACGCAAAGAAGACTTAGGCAGTTGGAGTACATTGTTGTCGAGTCTGCTAAAACTCATCCTTTGTAACCCAAACTATTTACCGTACACATGTATCGGTAAATGTAGTATATAGGACTATCCCCTCACCGTTGTGGTTTCGAATCCCGACAGGGACTTTGGATTCTTTCATGTGAGGAAGCTATCCAGCTAGCTTACGGAACGTCGGTGGTTCTACTTAGATGTCCGTTCGTGCCTGAAATAGTGCACGGAAGGTCTTCTTCCACCAGTAAAAGCTGGAACGTTGCCGAATGACCTATACTGTGCCGGTGTGACGTAAAACCCAAACAAACAAAATATAGGAATGTGTACCGTTTGTTCCGACGATTACTGAAACTTGAAATCCGAGTACATGGTATTGGATGATATTTATTTGATACAGGTGCTTTTGTTTGTTTTAACTCTGAAATGAAAGCTACCTAATAGGATTGTATGCAATAATGATTTCTATTTGATATCACGTTGTGCAAACGCTGAAAGTTAATTGGTTTTATAAGGTGTGAAATAAAAGTGGTTATCACAATGATATAATTCATTTGCACAGGTTTTTTTTATCACACACTTGAGCTAAAGACAACGAGACCTCCATTATTTCTCATGAACAGACTTGAACCGAATCTGCAATTTTCTTGTAATAAGTAAGTAAGTAAGTAAGCAAATTCTTTATTATAGTGACATGTGTTTCATGTATATACATACACAAAAATATAGAAAGATAAACACCGGCCCAGAGGACCTATAAGTCACCTAAACGGAAGGTTATAATCTGAGCATGTACGATATAATTTTTTTGTACTCCTTGCTTTCAAAGAATCACACCCTTTCCGGATTTTTGTCCGATACATTGATACGAAAGTGGAACAAGGATTAGTATAAAAGTATGCAAAATGAAAAGTAACACCAGAACACGGTCATTTGGTTATTAATTAACAAGTATGAAATTGAGCACGTCATAGGCTTTGGAGTTCGGCCAATTCTTCATTGTCTTTACACATTCGGTATTTAAATGTTTTACTTCACTTATTTTCTATAGACAATGACAACCTGAAACATTTCTTTTTGTTAAATGTAACTTGTGTTATAAAAACTTTAGATTAAAATCAAAAAGATATAATTGTATAAAATGGAATTGATAGAGTGATATATAATGGAAACCTGAAATGACTATGTTCATAGAAAGATTTTTTGTTGCTACACCAGGTAAAATGTAGTTGTCATTTAAATTAGAGGAAACATTTGGAATATTTAAAAAAAGAAAACAAGCAACAATGGAAGCGGATAGAAGATCAAGGCCACCACGATTAGATTTCTTGACGATGGATCTTACATCACCGAGTCCAACGCTGTCATCAAGCTCTGGATCCAGTCAAAAACCAAATTTCAAATCCGATGATGTCGTTTCTAATTTTGGTTCTCTTACAACGGACAGCTTTAATCTTCGCTTCAGGAATGAATGGCAGGGATCCCGTTCTTCGTCACCTGTAGAAACTTTTCAGTGCCCAGTATGTCTGGACCATATGATGACGCCGAAAACATTACCGTGCCTTCATAATGTATGTAAGAAATGTCTCCAACAACACATCAACGACTTCGTTCGGGATGACATTAAAGCCGATATCACTCCTACCTCATTTCCATGTCCGGTTTGTAAAAGAAAAACACTACCACCTGAAAATAACGTCGGCTTTGAAAAATGGGCGTCTCTGTTCCCGACAAACCATTTTTTGCATGCATATAGCACGATTCTTGCTGTTCAGAGAGAGGAGGTAGATTGCGACCCATGCGCGAGACGCGGTGAGAATACACTCGCCACGTGGTGGTGTAGAGAATGTAGCGAATACCACTGTAACGTGTGCAAAACGGTACACGCTGGATTTAAAATATTCAAAAATCATGATGTTATAGCTGTAAAAGAGATTGCACGGAATCCGGAAATGGCAGTCCCGAACTTCGAGCCATGTGCAGAGCACAACGAGAAAGTGACACATTTTTGCAATGACCACAGAGTATCATGTTGCGGAAAATGCATGGTCACAACACACCGGAAATGTTTGCAAACAGCAACAGTGAAAGAACAATTTGCGACTTTAAAGGGGAAAAAAGGACTGCCACATCTTATCGGAGTTTTAGCTGACTTTGAAGACTCTGCAAACGCATTAATAGAGAGCAGGAGAATGATAATAGAAGATTTAGAATCAAGGCGTCAGTCTATCATTGACAAAGTTAAAACCATTCGAGAAGGGTTCGAAGAAGATCTTCGAAAACTTGAAGCAAAACTACTTGAGGATTTCGATAAATTCCACAATGCTGAAATGGAACAACTACGGACATTGACTGAAGAATGCGAAAACTTAGGAAAACAAATAACTAACGCCTTTAAATTAGTGGAGACAGTCAAACATGCTGGGAGCGAATCACATATGATAAGTCTGATAGATAAAGTGTCTAGTGAGTGTCACATTTACGAAAGAGCCTTGCGTGAGAATAAATCCAAATTGCAGCACGTGGACTACGACTTCCATGTTGACCATGTCATAGAAAATGTTCTTAAGAATGCAAAACACTTTGGGAATATAAATATTAAACGGACAAAGCAAAAGGCGCAATTGATGATCGATGAAAATCAGTTTTCAGATAGGAAGTCTGTTAAAGAAGTGAAAAGATTGCGAGTGTGGATCGCGGGGGATAGAGGGCGCTGTGGAATAGTTGGCGGCGTTTACTTAAATGATGGAAAATTATTATTAGCAGACTGTGACAATTTCAAGATGAAATTGTTTACAGAAAATGGAAGAATTCTTCATAATCTCGTTTTGAAGAGTAAACCGAGTGACTTTGCCATGATCGATGAACAGACGTTTGCAGTAACATTTCCAAGCGCCTCAGGGTTACAGTTCCTCCACTTAAAAGGAAACACAATCCGAGAAGGCAATTATGTAAGTACCAATAGGATCAATCACAGTTTGTCGTATTCTGATAACTGCCTGTATCTTTTGTCTAACTCTGGGATTGCCGTTTGTGACAAAGAAGCAAGGGAGACAAGTTTCTTAAAGTTTAAAGAACACGGAGTACCTGCTTCTAATGCTCCGTGCTACATAAAAGCTTGTTCAAGTGGTCTTGTCGTGACTGACCCAGATAAGCACAAGGTAGAACTATTCTCCCTAGATGGCCGTCTGCTCCAGTCTTACACTTCCTCAGACTTGAAGCAACCTACCGGAATCGACATCGACGCCGACGGTAACATTTTTGTTTGCTGCAAGCATTCATCGAATATACACCAATTCAACGAAGACGGACAGAGAGTAAAAATCATTCTGACAGAGAAGGATGGAGTTGAAAATCCGATGGCAATTCGTTTTCAGAAATTTACAAACAAGTTCTTCGTCTCAGAAGCCAAGATTTCTAGCCGGGATTATATACGTATATTTGAATGGATTTAGATAAATGAACAAATTAGTTTAAAAATCAAGAAATAAAGTAGTCGAAGCTAGAGGGACGGTGATTGTCATAATGACATAGATATTTGTTGAATTTGTGTACATGTACTGGATTTGCCCAGCTTGAATTTTGAACAGCCCATTCAAAGTTTAAGGGATTATAATGTTATAAAACTGCACATTAAAATGCTCTACAAACAGTATATATGGAGCCAGGCCAGACTGCGAGAATTGTCTAGCTCTGTTTTCGTAACAAAGGCCAATCACTTACTCTTAGTGTTGTTTCAACAAGCCATAAGTGAATTCAAGAGAACTGCTTGTAGAATTTTTCTTTTTGTAAATAAAATACTAGTTTATATAAGAGCATAGCTAGTAGGTCTAGTATAATGCGCATAGTAAAACGTGTAATGCTCTATGATAATTTTGTTAAATTATGAAAATATCAATTCCGTTAGTCACGGTATGAAATTGTATATTATATTATAAGTTTGCTGTTAATAAATATTAATGTATAGATTAACTATGTAAAACAACATGTATATGATAAACTGAAATGATGATGTTTGCATTGACACGCATTCCTTTAAAGAACACCATTCAAGTACTTCCAATACAATTTAAAATATCTATAAATACATGCATACAATTTCATGAAAGGGGAGATTTAAAGCTATTGAAACAAGAATAGAAAATGAAAGATGAGACTGCATCTGTTTATGAGAGATAAAGTATATTATATAAGGTTTGTGAATAACAGAAATAGATTTTTCAGATTTTTACTATGACAATATATAGTACATAATTATGTAAAAGTACACACTTTTTAGTCACATGATGCACTTGAATTAACAGTAATAATAACTCCAATTGGCCTATGGGGAAATTAACATTACAAAAATAGTTAGGGATGCAACATTTAATCGGCTTACAATATATCAATAACCTCAAAAAATTTAACACATCACTAATGAAATTAGGACATTTCACATCATTATCTTATGCGATATAAAGTACTGTACTTAAAAAAGAAAGCTATGGTATGATGTTATGGTAATGGTGATTAATTATTTGCTAAGGATACTGATAGGTGCAGGCTTTTTGTTTGTGTTGTACCCTGTCCCGGTTTTGGTTCGGTGCCTTCTGGGTGCCCTGCTGTTGTGACTGTAATGTGTCGGGGCTGCATTCTGTGAACTTCGCCTTTGCCTTGTTGATCTTGATCTCATTTTTTAAGTTTTTTTACGTAATGATTATTTTAGCTATAGGTATATACCAAACACCAAAACAGTGGGCGTTCCCCTTCGTGTAAAATTAGATGTTGCATAAGTATAAGTCTAGGAGGGTTGAACCGCCTAGGCTTAATGTACATAGAGACTATACGAATATGCAAATTGGCACGTTTAAATGTATGCATAACACTCTTAATTGTTATTATAACCTTTTCAAATTGATTTTAAAGTCTATTTACCGAAACATCATATGATAGCAAATAATGTTTGAAGTTTAAGGGTTGTGTATTCTTTTAATCTACCAATATGTACACACGTACACTATTTGGATATCTGCTCCTTATAGTTTTGTTATTAACGAGTATTAATGACGTGAGTGCATGAGTATCCCGGATATTTTTAAGACTATAATTGATTTTTTTGAGTTGTTTGAACATCTTATATTAACGTACTTGTTAGATAATTGAAGTGGCACTTTTAACATTAACTTTTTTGGGAATTACATAGCTTAGGAGTCTTCATTACTTAGCTACATGCATCTGGACTTCAAAGACATATGAAAGGTATGATTCAATCTAAAGTTGTTTTTCTACATATTTCTTTTATTCCTGTAGAATTTTCTAAAATCCTGAATTACTATTATAGTACTGTCACATAATTTTGATTTTTTACAATATTTAAATACTTGTTTTTTAACTCCGGTATACAGTGCAAGGATGGGAATTGTGCAGAATTACATAAATTCCAGTGAAACAATTTACCATTAAATGACACGTCCCAAGATGAGTAAAATAAATCTTTAACAAATGAAACCTGAACACATATATATTATAATCCAGATGAAACTTTGAAAGCAGCATGCCAAATATGTCAGAATTTACTATTTTAACCCCTTTAATAACAGAGTAAGATAAATGTATTGTTTTTATACTACTCCGTCCAAGGCTAGATTTAACAGTTGATTTGTACACTTGACAACAATTTTACTCATTTGATTTTTTTTATATTATTTAAAAAATAACACAAATATAAGGGTATGCTGCTTTTAGTTATGAACATGGATGCTTAATTTTGATAAATGTTATATTATTACATTTATACATCCTTCTTGGGATTTCTTTTAAAATATTGATAATTCATATACATGCATTGCTGTGATTTCTCTCTATATTTGTACATTTGCACGTAAATACACGTGCATTTTGTTATAATCTAATTTTATATATACATGCAACAAGAATAAACAATTTGCTTAATTATCTATATACTGATTTACTAATTTATACGTGATGCTTACTTATTTTTTAATAATGAATTGAAATGTACATTAACTGACTGTAAAATTCGATATGTACATCTTTTAAATGGACTTGTAATATTTCATCGTAGTTTGTGTGAGTATTTACCGCATTTAGTATTCGGATTCTTAAACAAAAGCGAAAATTCATCATTTTTTAATTTATATGTCTCACACAGATTTCTTATCTTGTTCTGATATTTAACACTCTTAATAGGAAGTGCTTTCTCAAATTCTGTCCAACCATTCGGTTTTCAGTCTATTACATAGTATACAACAGATTTCCGCTCAAGCTTAAAGTCACGATACAACTATAAAAGGATTGTAATGATATATTTTATATTTCCGCTAAGACAAAGATTCTCTGAACAATCAGATCGCCAATAAAGTTATATCAGATTCCCGCCGAAGCATGAGTTGACGTAACAACCATAAAGGGACTGTAATAATACATGTATGAGCCGTGTCATGACAAAACCAACATAGTGGGTTTGCGACCAGCATGGATCCAGACCAGTCTGCGCATCCGTGCAGTCTGATCAGGATCCATGCTGTTCGCTTACCAACCCTTTTACAAGTAGAGAAACTGATAGCGAACATCATGGATCTTGATCAGACTGCGCGGATGCGCAGGCTGGTCTGAATCCATGCTGGTCGCAAACCCATTATGTTGGTTTTGTCATGACATGGCTCGTATATTAAATTGCCGCCTCACTTAAGCAAACTCACTTAAGTTCGTGATACTCATGGGAGGGTTAATGAAAAACAGACACGTAAAAATGGAAGGAAAACATGCAATGTAACGGAATGAAGGATGACATGAAATCAATACGAGTTAGATCTGTAATTTTAAATACTTTTAAGATATCAACTTTAGTCAGTTTGGTAATATATTATTTCTAGCTATGAGTATGAAAGCCAACTATCAGTTAACGAACACAATAAGAAATGGAGAAGCGGTCAAACTTATTATGGTACGCATTTCTTAGATAATGCCACATTCTCTCGCCTACAATTGATCTATGGTCATTTCATTGTTCTATTATTTGAATTTTGGCAAATCAGGCAGACGGCACACTTGGCAAAACTTGTATCTCTAATGGTTCTGATACAAAGCCGTGAACAGAAATTGTATCACACAATGGCCAGGCACAAACAAACTAATGGATTGTATGTGTTTGATAAAAGAATATCCCTTTGGTTATAAGTAACAGACATACCATCAGTTAACACCAAATTGTTCTTAATATAATATATACCTTTCTTTACATTTAATCTTACTTTCTTTTAAGTTTGAAGGAGTCAGCGAAACAAGTCTTCTATTCCTTTCTTTTCTTTTTTATGCACAAGATATTCATGCCAGTCTTCTGCTATTACTTATTCACTGATCTTACAGCTTGCAGTGAAAGAATAAGACTGGATCACAAAATGTTCGCTTATTTAATTTGTACTTTATTTCTTCAGCAAATTGTGATGTAAAAATGTTAAGATCGTAAATTTCAAACCAATTGCCTCGCGCCCTTGTAGGTTCGAGCAGCACAAACGTCTTCGGATTAGTTCATGAGATAGAGCTGTCCAACTAGCTTATGGAACGTCCATGGTTTTACTCAGGTGCCTGTTTGTGCCTGAAATAACACGAAGAGGTGCACCCGAGGTTTTCCCGAAAAGTCGCCATATGACCGATACTGTGCTGGTGCGACGTAAATCCCAACAAAACAAAAATTGTGAAAAAGGACTTACTTCCATTAGCTTATTTTGTTGGTTGCATTTATTCTCTAAAGTATACACGGCCGCCAAAGTTACTGTCAATGATTTAACAAAATAACATGCGGGAGATAGTTGTCGTTACGTATACATATAAGCACGCATTGTCCGGATTATCACGGTACAATCGGTTCTATTGATGATACGGTACCCGCGGGAAATACTATATAAATATTATGATTCATATAACGCTATATTCTAATCAATGTCTTTACATCGTTTACATTTTTTTCTTTCTTATAAAATGTTATTTAAAGAGAGAGATTCCTTTAAAATGCGCAAAGACGTCCAGAACACACATATTTCAGCACCTGCATATTTTAAGTTCCTCCATATTTTAAGTTTCTCTTTGTTTCTTTGACATTCATTCCAATAAATAACCACAGACTGTTGAAATCTTTAGTAGTTTCATTTTCTGTCCCCTTTTTAAACTGGTTATGTATTACCCTTTATCACAAAGTTTGCTCTTTTTCAATTCCATAATCACATTTAAACTATAAACTCATCACATAGTTTCCTCATGTACTCAAATGCGTACTTGCATTTATTTTCCACAAATAATATAAATCTATCTCCTCTAATTTTGATTGCTAAAGTTTTAAAATTCTAATCAAAATTGTATAGTTTTCAGGAGTATGCAAATGGAAAAAATATAAGGCAGTCTGTAGGGCTTTCTTTTTCCTTATTTGGCTTTTATCAGTATTTACATAGACAACAATAGAAATATGTCCACATGATATGGATGCCAGTCATGTCACAATATTTCACTGTTTTGTCTGCATACAGACGAACAGCGTGACAGCAAGAAAGCAGCACGAACGTGCATCGGCAAGTCTATAAGTCCTCACACCCCTATTAAACGAGGCCTTAAACGTATTTTAGCTCTCACACCCCTTTAAGTTAAGGCCATACAAGTAGTTTGCAGTGGATATGGCGCGATTTTCCTCATTTATCTTCTACATGCATGTCATGAGACATTTATTACTTTTAAAATTAAAAGTCCCCGTTGAAACTACCGTATAAATTATTATGAATGCTAGTTACAGCAATATATTGAGATGAAAAAAAAAAATAATATGATGCAATGTCACGTTAAAGCATGCTTATTATCGTGAAAGCGAGCATTCTCTTTTTATATGATGATCAATATTCTATAACTAATGCATTTTATATTATAATTCACACAAAGTTATAAATATGGACATCGCTTTATTCCACTGAAAAAAAGTTATTGCTTGTTAAGCCAATCAAAAGAATAACTCAAATTAATGTGCATTGTGACGGTCCCTAAAATGCACCATTTCCTTTTTATTCTAAAAGAATCGAAACTTACATAAACACGTGGACTTTTGGAAACTTAATTATCAGTCGAAAATTCAGGGGTACGATATGCACTATCTTCCACGAAACGGAGAAACATGTGTTTTTGTAATGCATTTTGTAGAGAGGTTATCCATTTTCAAAACAGATTCCTCTATTATAATTGTTTTGCAAGTCTTTTAATGTTGACTACTATACCTGTCCATTCAACGGAAACAATGTGTTCACATTTGTCTGTATTTGTATTTCTAATCAACTACGTTAGTATGCTGTACTGTATACTTACTATCAATGAAAAGTTTTATCGCTAATTTTTGCTATTTTCTAGACAATATGTTAGAGTTTCCGTTTTACGTTGTACTATCAAAAATATTTTCCTGAAAAAGCATAATTGTCACTTGTTACTCTTTTCTGTTTATTCATTATCAATTTGTTAATGTAATATAACTATCCAATCATTAATAATTTATGTAAATTTTAAAGTACAGCTTTGACTTTTATATCTTAACAAAATGTTGAATATCCCAGCATCAAATGATCGAACTAAGTCGTTTTGGTTTGGCAATATATTGTTAGGAATTACCGATTACAAATTCCGTATTGTCATAGAATCAGTAAAAGTACAACTGATAGAAGATTTTTTGTACCTTAACATTTGGTTGTTTAGTACAACAAAACAACGTCAAACTGTATAAGTAGACTGTTTAATGTCCTTCATTATAGTGTTTTTATATATTTTTGGATCATTGATTCTAACACGTTTGTGTAGAAGATTAAATATAGCTTAACCCGGTGCTAATGGCGTGAG